GAACACAATTTAAGGAATGCTAACAGACAGTTGAGTAAAACATGTAAAATAAATTAATCACATACATATTTCCCATAGAATAAATTAATTATATGAACCTTTAACTTGTAAGAAATCACATACATCATATCTAAACATAGGTTGTCATATCACACCACAATACATAGTACAAACAGACTTAGTAGTTATGTGCTCTATTGAACGGGTTTTCTATGATCGTTGATTGTCACAGAGATGCAGTTGTTGCCTTGTTCGAGGAAGTCCTCTTGAGAGGGACTTAATGCTCATTAAAGTAAAAAGATTTCATAACATTTGAAAATTAACCTTTATTCCATGGAACAGAATTAAATGAAGAAGTCTCTTCTTGCCAACATGAGAGTGAGAAGATAAAAAGAAAGAGCATGTAAAATAACCGAAATATGAAATTGATACTTTCACATGAGTTAGCTTATTTTTTGTAAGAGTTTTAAGGCAGTTGCAACACAATAAGATCATATAAGTGCCGAAGATTAGAGGTGTTACCAGAGAGTAACAAACACAAAAAAGAAGGAGGGGAGATAAAGACGATAGACATTTGATAGGAAAGAAGAAGCAATCCAAACCAGGACACCCGCCAACCACACACGCCTTTGAGTTAAAACTGTTAAGGTATATGGTAAATGCACCACAAAAACAGTCGTCAAATTGGAAAGTTAAAACATATCCGCATTCTTTCACTAAGCAAGATATCTAGTTTTCAGTTTGGAACCTCTTCTAAAACTACAAAAATTGTGACACCGCCAATATTTTTTTTTCACGAGAGGGAAAATGTCTCAAGACTAAAATTATCCTCCTTTTTCCACTAAAACTTTTTTTTACTGTTGTTACAAATTCTCATTTACCTTTAAATCATCTAAAAATTCAACTTCAGACCCTGTTCTGGAGTTCTGGGCTAATCAATTTATCCATTCAGATCCCATTCTCAAGTGATGATTAATGGATTTTATATATATAACCATTGGTGCATTTTTTTAAAAGCCACAAGTCAGGCAATAGTTCATGATCACCTTATCAATATACAGTCAAACAACATGAGCAAATAGATACCAACTTAAGGGTCCAGTGGTACACTATAGCAAACTCCTAAAACTGCTTTGGATCTTTATATGCTAATGAAATGAGCTGGACTTTTACTTTCCCCCCCAGAATTGTTATCAGCTTTGCCAAAAATAGTGAGCACAAATTACGTCATCATAATAAAAATTGTACTTGAGTCACGATTTCACACAACTGACAGACGAATACTGTCTGCATGTGTTTGCGAAAACACAATTGGAAACATCCAGAGTTGTTCAAAGCCACATGAACATTATTAACCATGAACTAGAGTCACAAATGGAAGATCAAAGTTGAGAACATAGCCCTGAGATTTGAAAGGAGGCCAAGTGCTCCAACTCCAATTAAAAAAAAAAAGAAACCAACTGATGGAACAAAATGTAAACAATACAAAGAAGCATAAATTTTAAAAAAGAAGATTATAACAGTATAAATAAGGTGTATTACCAGCCACACTACACTGCATTCTCAAGGACATGAACATGTTTTTATATATAGAAAAATAAAAAATCCTCTCAAATTTTCAAGCGGAGATACTGTACTCAATTATCTCTCAAAGCTGTAATTAAACAAACATATACGTACAAGCAACTACTTAAGCAGATAACACTCAGAAGCATTTTCTTTCTTTCATTTTACTTCTATTGTCTGTGCTACCTCATAAAAGTTAAAACAGCCATTCCTCTCTCACCCTGAAAAACTTTGAAAGCACTACAAAAGTCACAATGAGTTTTTTTTTAAAAGATACAAGACATACATTTATGAATCTACTTGGTCATGTGACATGAGTTTCCAGGTTTAAAAAAAAAAATTAAATTAAAAAAGGCTAGCTAAGAACAAAAAGAAAAGGAACATTATTATACCAAAAGTATGGAATGGTAACACCTGGACCAGCAGTAACCACCATCAAGACAGTGTGTTGCCTTCAGTACCTGTCTGAAATGCTAGTGAAGAACAGATAGAAAGAGGAAGGAAATGACAAAGAAAAAAGTAACAGATTTAAATTAATTTGTATCAGGCAAAAGCCAAAGAAAAAAAAGGGTCAAGAGGCTAAAAAAAGAAAACTTACAAAATCCATGACTCATAAATAAATAGTGAAATTGTCAAAACTAGCCGAAAACAGTCAAAGAGTTAAGGGAAATATTTAAATTTGTTGAACAAAAGGTGATTGTACTTTCACATGTGGTTACTTCTTGGAGGCAGACGGAAAATAAAGACGCCACCTGTTTACTTTGCACAACTCTCAGAACCATTCCAGGTACAGACAGGAGTGCGACAAGGATGCTTGCTCTCACCTTTTCTCTTCATACTGGCAATTGACTGGGTCATGAAAGAAGCCACCAGAGGCAAACGTAATGGAATACAATGGACCCCTTGGCAGCAGCTGGACGACTTGGACTTCGCCGATGATCTTGCACTGCTCTCTCACACACATGCTCAGATGCAAGAAAAGACCAAGGAACTCAACAGCCTATCAAGGAGTGTTGGTCTACGTATACATCCAGGCAAGTCAAAAGTAGTGAAGCTAGGAAAAGTTTCAAGCCCTGTTGTGACAGTGGAAGACACTCCCCTGGAAGAAGTGGACTCCTTTACCTACCTTGGAAGTGTCATCAATGGTAAAGGGGGAACCGAGTCAGATGTTAAAGCAAGAACCGCCAAGGCAAGGTCAGCCTTCAAGCAATTATCAAAAGTCTGGAAAGCAAGTAACGTCTCACTGCGCACCAAGATTCGACTCTTTAACTCCAACGTCAAGTCTGTGCTCCTCTATGGCTGTGAAACTTGGAAGACAACGAAGACAGTACTGAATAAAGTCCAGACCTTCATCAACAGATGTACGAGGAGTATTCTAAGAATTAAGTGGCAGGATAGAATAAGAAAGGAAGAGCTGTGGGAAAGGACAGGACAAAAGGATATATAGAAGTAGAAATAGGACTAAGAAAGTGGCGATGGATGGGACACACCTTAAGAAAGCCCAGCGGACATATCACAAGACAGTCACTGCAGCGGAACCCACAAGGAGCACGAGGCAGGGGTAGGCTACGGGAAACATGGAGGAGATGCGTGGAAAGGGACATGGGAGAAATGAAGCTCACTTAGAATGAGCTTGTAAGGATGGCTCAGGACAGAGATAAATGGAAGGAGCTTGTATGTGGCCTATACCCTGCCAGGGGTGAAAGGCATTGATGATGATGATGATGATGTTTACTTTGCACTTTCAAATTAAATTACAATGTCACAAAACAAGTAGATTAATTTTTTCAAGAGACAAGTTGATGCCACTGGGAAAGACAATGAATGAATCTTTGGTGTAAATAAAACATTTTTGCTTCACATGTGACTGAGTTAAATATTTATCACGAAAAAAATATAGAAATACGAACAGAGCAATTTCTTTATTCTTTAACACTTTGCCATCATATTTTGGGGAAAATTCAAAGAAACTGGGTGGTAAACATCGCCAATCGGTGAGATAAGGTGGCAAAGTGTTAAAGTATTGTTGATTGGACGGAGTAATGAAACAAATACAGGTATCTTCTTCATACATAATGTACTTGTATCTTATGTGCACATGCAAATTACTGAAAAACATGAATGGACATATATTTAATCTATTTGGTCACGCAGTTAAAGTTAAAGTATTTGAAGTCAGTAATACTGAAAGACAAGATTCAATCCCCAGCCCTGAAAGTCTGGTCACAGTATCTGAAAGAAGTATCAGTCCATTTTCATGGTATGTAAATTTTGGAAAGGCAAGCCACATCTTAAATTTAAATGTTGGCAGAACCTGACTGTTAATCACTTTCAATTTTACCTCAAATTTGGAAAATAAGTTCACATTTTTTTTTCACATCAAAATTTCCAGCAAGTACAACCCTGACCATTATATTAAGTTTCCGAGTGCACAAATTAGAAATAAATTTGAAAAATCTATCCCAAGTCCTGAATATTATTGACAAAAAAGTGGCAAGTGTAATGTCAGTGCAACTAGTGTGCTAAAATCGAGCAAATTAAATACAGAATACCAAAATAAAAAATGGGTCAGTGTATCAGAGTCAGTAAGGAAATTATCTGCTTTTTGTCCCCTGTCTCTCCCTCATTGCTCGTCCGAGTCAAAGAAAAGCATTTCACATGATAATTATAATTTTGCGGCAGGAAAAAAAGGTAAGACAGACAGAAACAACTTATATAAAAATGCTTTAAAGAAGAAAGTACCAAGAGTACCCTCCAACTACTCAAATCTCAAGCTGTTTCCAGGCAGGACACAGGAAAACAACAGCTCTGACTACTACTAAATTATACCTATTAGCAAAACAGTTATATCAAAAGCATTTCTATCATTACAGTAATACAATCTAGGACAAAAAAGAAGAAGTCAGAAGCAAAAAAAACCCATTGCTGCCATTGCACAGGCTGTCACCTGTTTGATATGAATTTGTTTCATTCTGTAAAAAAAAAAAAATGTAGATTATGTCACATTTTGTCAAAAATAAGTGGAGATTTCCACAATTTAGAGGATGAGAATCCAAAATAGATTTCCTCATGGATTAAATATTAGCAAAGCCATACATCATCTATACTCTTAAAATGAAGTTTATTCAGCAAATAGGCTAAGAAAAGAATCTCAAAACTGGAAAAATGGATAGACCAGACCTAAATGTTGCCTGTAGTCGCGATACTCTTTATATTATTCTTTTAGGACAGGGGTAGGGCCGTGCCATCAGAAAAAAAAAATGTTCAGATCAATAGCAATCTGAATAATACCTGGTAATTCTTCAACCCATATGAACTGGCCCCCTAGTATTTAAAAATAAACAGGCTGAACCAGATCAATCAAGCACAATCAAACCATTCAAAGTTTCCTTGTCAGGTTTCAGGGAGGAGGGGGGGGGGGGGGGGGGGGGGGAGAGAGTGTGAACTCTATAATTACTACTACAATCAAGGTTTGTGCAAGTTGTAAGTTTTCACCCTTGGAATTAATAAATATATGGACACATATCTGTCAGCTGTAGAAAACATTTTTCTTAAGTAAGTATGGTACCAGTGATGATTAGTAAATGCTATCTCTTTCAAATCAATCGAGTTTTCAGGTAGGTATTTAAATTTCAAGTTTCTACAAGCCTTCAACTGCAAAGTTGTTAGTTTTTGGTGATCACTGCAAAGAGAAAACATGTACTTCAATTTGTCAGGATCAATAAATGGATAAAAGTATTCTGACGGAGTGACATAAACAAAGCCATCATCGTCTTCAAGCATTGGGACATTGGCTTCATATTGTCGGAACACTGAGGTCACAAAATGAGGACCTGTACTGTCTAAATAATTCCACATGATGGAATAGGCTGGTAATGAGTCAATCAACATTTTCATGAAGGGATGACCCTTCCGGCAACCAATCAAAGCATTAATTAACAGCTTTTCAAAATTAGTATCCAAAATAGGATGCTCGTATGGTTCCTGTCCAATGAAACAAGAATACTTCTGAGTCAATGGGTCGATTGGTGTTAGCGCTTCCATGTCCATATCAACATAAAGTCCTCCATACTCATACAAAACAAAGTAGCGAAGGGCATCAGCTTTTCTAATTGGTTGTGTGTAACCTTTGAATATCTCCAAGAAGGATGGATACTTCTCAGCAATGAGCTGCTCCGCATCAGAGTCAGTCCATAGCCAGTACTCCCAGTCTGGATGAAGAGACAGCCAAGATTTAATCCAGTCAGAAAACTGGATGGGAACATCAACATCCTTCCATGTCTGGTGAATTATCTTTGGTATTTTACTAGAGCCACTCACCGGTAGTGGTTCCCTTTCAGTCACTCGCACTGGCACAAAGTTCTCAGGAATGTCAATGTCCAAATTTGCAAAGTTGCTTTCATGATTACTTGCATCCCACTTTAAAATAAAATGTAATGAGACAAGGAACAAAAAAGCCCCTATCAAAACTGTGATGCGTCTCTGTTTCCGTTTATCAAACCCAAGAAAAAGCCTGAGCACTGGTACGTTTCGAATCCGCATCTCTGAAAGAAAAATAAGGGGAAAATACATTTGATAATTCAGAACATTTATAACTATTTCAACCAATATTATTCACACTAAACTTTGCAAAGTAAGTAACATCACAAACGAGAGACCCAAGCTGATCAGTGCAAAAACAGTAGGAAATGGTTATTCAATATGACTAACACTTCAGAATCAATGTACTTCTTTTTAGTAAGAGTTATACAGCATTTGCAACACAATCAGGCCAAAGATTAGAGGTGTCATATTCGTTTTAGCTTCAAAACGAAACTAGCAATCGTGAAAATTGTCATGCACGCTGGAATACAGTTTTGAGTGATAAAAGGGTGATAAAAGGGTAAAAGTTAAGATATTCAGATGGACTCTTCAACCCTTCAATCTCACTTGCCTTGGTTTGCTACACATGGTCAGACTTAGGTCTCAGGCCCATAAAACGTTATACTATACAAGTAATCCTTTATCAAATTATTCACTTACCTGTAGCACTATATATATATTAAAAACTGTTGCGAGTATTAGTTACCACTCCCTAACTAATGTAAGAGGGCATTTTGTTAATTTTCATTTAGTAAGGTTTTGACAGGTACACGAGTGGAAGAAACTAAAGCTGAAGAGGTACTCTCATTATCTAGAGGTACGGAGTTTGTCTCTCATTCAATAGGTCCCAAGTTCGAAACCTGAGAGTGATGGAAAAATGTTATTCTTCAAAAGTAAAACCCTCCCAAATCAATTGTTTCCAAGAAAATTTCAAAGCTAATCGCAAAACTTCAAATTATGGCGAAACAGGAGGGGGGGACCCCAGATTTGTTTTTTAAAGTCAGGGGAACCTATATAATATTTGCTAAAAGCAAGTAGAATATAGTATTACTACAGTGGAACTCAGTTTCAACGAGCTCGGATTCAACGAGAACTCGGATTCCACGTTTTTTTTCTTCTTTAAAATCAATAAAAATAACACGGATTCAACGAGCACTTAAATCAGCGAGCTCGGATTCAACAAGGTCGCTTCCAGGGTGAACAGCCCCCGCAGACGTGGCTTCGCTCTTTTTTCTCCCACAACGAACTTTATCTATTCCCGGAAACCATCCATTGCACCTGCATTGTGAACCATTATTCATTATACACTTAGCCAATTGCATGCGACCAACCAGCGGCCTTTTTTCATACCAACAAATGCGTTTTTGGCACGCGCACGTGTCTACTCTAGTGTGTGTCGGGGTCGGATGGGCGGCCTGCACACGTGTGGCTTTGTGTGCGTGTCAGGGAGGGAGGGGGGGGGTCCGAGTGATGAACGACGCAGATACAAACACGTCACAGTCTTTTTTTTTCTCTAGGCAACTTATCATTATTACAATGATAAGCTAGCCTAGTCTTGACGTAGATCTATGTAATGAATTGTGCGCTGGTCTATGGAATCAAAAGTTGCCATATGCTAGGCTCTTCACAGCAACACAACTTTTTGGTAAACAATCGAGATGACGCAGGCGTGTGCATTTGAACGAATCAGTCTTCTTTTTTTTTTTTGCACAGCTCATAATATGCAGGCATTTCAGGCACTACTTGTGACTTCTCTTTATACACTTGCTCAGTGCCTGTACTTATCTACACAAAACATCATGTTTGCTATAACGAACACTCGGATTCAACGAGATTTTAGGCCAGGCCCGGCTACCTCGTTGAATTTGAGTTCTACTGTATGAAGTTGGGCCTAATGTAACATAGTTTGTATAAAAACATATTTACATGTTACAAACTAATAATCTGCAGTGGATAAGAAGTCAAAATTTGTGAAAGCAGATAAAAATTATGAACAAGAAAAGTGCTTTAAAATAGAAAATGAGCATGAGAGAAGGGTCCATGAGTAAAATTTATAACAAAATAATACGGCCACCCAAAACCATAGCATACCAGTGGTGGTTTAGAAATCAGAATGCCTTCTTTTAAGTTAATCCCTTTTAACCGAATTCCCCTGCCGTCCAACTCCAAGAAAATCACCGCCCCCTTCTTCTTATATATAAATCTTACCCTCTACTTGGTCTACTTCATACATACCTGCCTTACAAGATCTACATCTTCCTTGATTCCAAATGTATTGACCATAATCAAGAAGAAAGTTGTTAGGCACCAGTACGCCTGCCTAACACTGAATTGTTAGGGGCATGTTTATTTCAAAGTCAAGGTCATCTGGCGCTCCCCGAACCCCGATTCATTTCACCAGTGTGTTTGGGAAGGTACAAAGAGATTGCAACTAGTGAAAATATGGATGATAATTTCAGATCCAGACCATTGAAAACAGCACATTTGATTTGGACATTGACGACAGTGATGTATACAGATCTATATTATATTATATATATTTTGGCCTGCTTCAAGTGTTCCATCCCATGAGATGAAGGAAAACGAAGAGCGCTTGCAGAATTAAAGACGGGATGTGAGAATTAGAGTATGGAAAATTAGATACGGTAGCCTACATGGGAAACAAAAGGTGAGAGATGGGACACAGAAGATGGGACACAGAAGGTGGCATTTGGAAGATGGAACTGGTCATCTGTGTGGTGTAATGTGTACAATAATGACTGTATTGCACCGGGTCAGTCTGTGAACCGACGAAGAGAGAAAATGACAGGACCTGAATCAATTACAATTCTTAAATTATAATTATAACAAATACCTCTCTTTCTCTCCCCCCCTCTCTCTCTCTTTCTTTTTCTCTTTCCTCCCCCCTCCCTCTCCCTCTTTTTTTTTCTCTCCCCCTCCCTTTCTCTCAGTCTCTCTCCCTCTTTCTACCCCCTTCTCCCTCCCCCCATTCTCTCTCTCTCTCTTCCTCTTTCTTTTTCTCTCCCCCCCTCTCTCTCTCTGTCTCTCTCTCTCTCTTTCTTCCCCCTTCTCTCTCTCCCTCTCTTTTTCTCCCCCCCCCCCCGTCTCTCTCTCCCCCTCCCTCTTTCTTTTTCTCTTTCTCCCCCCCCTCCCCTTCTCTCTCTGTCTGTCTCTCTCTCTCTCTGCCTGCAGACAACATTGTACGCTTTCAATTTCAACTCAAGAGTGGCTTGGGCAACTGAAACATCTTCGTAGTAGAGAATCTTTGATACCACTGTGACATCGATGTAACAAATACGGGTCAATAATTCCGTAGAGCTGTGGAAAGGTAGTTGAAGCATACCGTACGCGTGCCACAGTCCAGTGCTGGGGAAGCGTACGCGTCCCTAACAGTTCAGTGCTGGGGAACAGTACGCACCCCTAACATAGCACAATAACACAGCTTTCTTAAAGATGGGTACTACAGTGGAACTCGGATTCAATGAGGTCGCCGGGCCAGACCTAAAATCTCGTTGAATCCGAGTGTTCGTTATAGCAAACACGAGGTTTTGGGTAGATAATTACAGGCACTGAGCAAGTAATGTATAAAGAGAAGTCACAAGTAGAGCCAGAAATGCCTGCATGTTATGAGCTGTGTAAAAAAAAAAAAGACTGATTCGTTCAAATGCACACGTCTGTGTTGCTGTGTAGAGCCTAGCATACCGCAACTTTTGATTCTATAGACCAGCGCACAATTCATTACAAAGATCTACGTCAAGACTAGCTTATCATTGTATGATTAGTTGCCGAGGGGAAAAAGACTAAGACGTGTTTGTAACTCTGCGACTTACAACGCCCGGACGCTAGTGCCCCCCCCCCTTCCCCGACACGTACACACAGCCACACGTGTGCAGGCCGCCCATCCGACCTCGACACACGCCACAGTACACACGTGCGCGTGCCAACAACGCATGTGTTGGTATGAAAAAAGGCCGCGGATTGGTCGCATGCAGTCGGCTAAGTGAATAATGGTTCACTATGCAGGTGCAATGGATGGTTTCCGGGAATAGATAAAGTTAGTTCTGGGAGAAAAATGAGCGAAGCCACGTCTGCGGGGGCTATTCACCCTGGAAGCGACCTTGTTGAATCCGGGTTATTTTTATAGATTTAAAAAAAAGAAGAAAAAAAACGGGGATCTAGATCTAGATCTAGATCTAGATATCTAGATTCTAGATTCTAATTCTAAATCTAGAATCTAGATCTAGAGATCTAGATTAGATCTATAATCTAGATCTAGATCTATCTCATCTCGTTGAATCCAAGTTCTCGTAAATCCGAGCTTGTTGATCTGAATCCAAGATCCACTGTACTAACCTCCTATAAAAACAACGTAGGTACAAAGATCGGCGCTTTTTCGGTAGATTTCTAGTTCCCACCCCCCTTATTTGATAGAGCCTGACCTACATCTAGATCTATATACGTTTGATTCGCGGCAAGCTAAGATGTCAAACCTAACAACTGCAAAACATTAAATTGTGGTAAAATTCAGGGGGGCATGCCCCCCTGAAACCCCCCACCTTGTTTTTGTTAGGTTAAGGGGGCAAGCCCCCCTGAAACCCCCCTACTCTTGGGGCCAAAACCGGCGAATAACAAATGCGGGGTGGGAACTACCGAAAAAGCGCCCAAAGATCAATAATCTAGATCTAGAAGTAGTCTAGATATGTAGGCTATCTTAATCTAAATAAATTCAATGCTTCACTTTCACTACTTTTTCAAAGACAAAATCGGTCCATAAACCAAAGAAATATATATATTTGCAACAACTAAACACCAGTTGAGTGCTTCCCCTCGGAATGTTCCTGTATCCATCCACAGATAAAGACTTACCACACTTTTAATATACGAGACTTATTGTGTATCCATTTATTCAACTTTTGCACTCGTTATAATCGATGGGTCGGTCTGCTGCGCTCCGGCATGTTTATTCTTCCTTCAACTTAGAGGCTACTTGCTTGCAGTTGCAGCAGTATTAGAAACTAGAAAGGGCTGCAACTCTGCAACACGCAGGAGTTTAAAAAAAAATTAAATTATCAATATTTAATTTTTACAGTGCGTCTCAACTTGGGGCCAACAACTTTTTCAAAGTACTGTTATACATTTATTATTATTATTATACATTAATGCTGTGTATACTACACTGCAGTCTTAGTCTTAGCCAATGAGACTAGAAGAAGACAAACACAATACAAGCAAATTATTCCATTTAATGGTGCTTATTATCAACAGGTTTCAGCTAACCGATTTTTCACTCTTGGAAAGTGGAAAGGAGCGGACGCTTTCCCAGTACAGATTTATTTCATTCTGTCTTTAAAGTAACTTGCATGTAGCCATAGCATAGCCTACCAAAGGCTGCAAATTTATTTTAGTAAGATGAAATCGTTGCGAAAGTTGCATCGTTTTCTGAGTGACATATGCAGCAATTAATGTGATGCAATGTTTTCATTTGTTGCAAGAGAATCGTTGAAACTGAAACCATTAAGTTTTCATTCTGCAACAAGTCAAAATAATCTATCTATATAGGCCCTCTACCACACCAACAAAGGAGAACGATATCAAACTTAAAAAGTTAGTTACAAGGCCAGCTACCACCATTTCTTTTTTATGTGAAGATGGGGACTAAGACAAAAACTTGGCTCCCTACGTATGCTGCTTAATATCTACCTGTGCCAGTGGTTGCAAAGTAGCAAAGGAGCAGAAAAATCAATGCCCTTTGCTGGTTTGACGTGAACCAACCAAAAGCAATAAATTCAACAACAAACGACTGCTCCTTTCTTTCTTTTTTATTTTTTAGTAGAGGTTGCGCTCGCAACTGCATAAGGTCGTATGAGCGCCAAGGGGTGGATGTCAACAGAGAAGTCTTTACAGGGAATCGGGCTTACTCTGCTCACCACTCCAGCTTCAACAGCACAAAGTCTGTTTAGACTTTCAAGGCACCCCGGAAGTAGCGGGTCACAAGAGTGTGACAAACATACATAAGAAGTAAAGGGAATGACGATAGTAAGGATTAGGGGGAAAAAAGCAGCAGTTCCATTTTGTAATTCAAGCACAGTTATGGGCATGAGATTGTTGAATCAGCCCATTTACAATTCTACGGTGCATAAGAACGAGAAATATATCCCCCCTTTAGGAATGGCCTACAGACACTTCAGTCAGTGGCACCGCCAGGACTACACACAAACTCATACACCAGGAGAGAGAGAGAGAGAGAGAGAGAGAGAGCAGCAGCAGCAGCAGCAGCAGCAGCAGCAGCACACAGCAGATTTGGGGTGGGGATACATTGTTGTTTGAGGAGGGAGGTGTCACTATGGACTTGGAAAGGGGAATTTCGCGCTCGTTATATCGGAGGTAGGGTTCCCCACTCATAGCACTGCATGTCCCCTTTAAAAAACGGTGAAACGATATTATATATGTTTTCGTCCCTATCAACACTATTAGAATACTTAAGAGGTAAGACCTCTGAGTTTAGCGTCCATCTCCATCAGGGTCACCTGCTCGTTGTGCCAATCTTGTAATGTTTCCATCGTTGAGGCATGCTAAGTAGCAGAAGTCTAGGGCGTTCTCAAGAGCAACTCCTTGTGGGTTTGTGGTTGAATTGCCCCAGCCACTCCCTCGTGCACCGATCTCTCTACAAACTGCCACATATTATACATGGCGAGTCCTTGGATATCATGGAAGCGACCACTTGCCGTGCACAGTGCTTGTCAGGCGTAGGAAATCCACCAAAACCGCCAAGAAGACAAAGGCATTCGCGTATGAGGTCAGGGGCAAAGGCAATCCCAGTCAGGAGGATAAAGCAAGTGGAGATCACCCAGCCGCCAAGGAGGAATGATGAGCTGGACAAATTGTGGAGAGCAAAAAGGAAGGCGTTACAAGCATACCAACATAACCGAGAGAACCCAAACCTGAAAAGAGCAGAGAAGGACGCTTCAGAACTATTCACGGTCGTGGTGAAAGAGGCTAAGAAAGCCATTTATGAAATTTTTGGCCAAGAGGTGGCAGATGATAAGGCACTCAACAGATTCTGGCAGCTGTACAGATCAATGGTGAAAAAGAGGCCGGCCAATGGTCTACCAGACTTCCAACGGGAGGAAGACGTGTGGGTGTGGTCAGACAAGGAGAAAGGTGAGGTGCTGTCTGCCCGATATATTCAGCAGACAGACCAGGGAAACGAAGTGGAACGAAAAAGGCTTCTCTGTGTTATACGCCAGCGGTAGGTTAATGAATCTTCAACTACACCCTCAGTCACGATGACGTTAAGAGAACAATCAAGCGCTCTCCCAATACCGCCTCGGGTCCAGATGGTGTTCGGTTCTCTCACATGAAAAACCTTGACGAGGACAGCATCAGGAACCTCACAGAAATCCCCAACAGGAGTCTATGGAAAAGAAAGATACCAGATGACTGGCTGGACAGCCATATAGTGCCTCTCCCCAAGCCTGACAAGGACCAGAGTAAGATAGCTGCTTATATAGTAAACACGATTCAAAATCTGCATGAGCAAGCTTTTAGAAAAGGAGGTCGGGTACTCGATCGCAAAGGAGCTAGAAAAGGAAGAGGCACTTCCAGCGACTCAGGGTAGCTACAGAAGGGGGAAGGAAACGTGGATGAATGCCGCCGTCCTTGCATCAGATGTTTATGATGGGTTTGAAAGAGGCGAGGAGACTGATAGCAGCGCTTGACCTCGAGGATGCTTACAACAGGGTTGAGTACGATGTCCTTTTGAGAACAATGATCAACCTGAAGATTAGCTCCCAGATCGTGATATGGGTAGGTGAGGCATTGCTGAAGAGGAGAGTTGCAATGCGGCTGGGAAACTGGACATCTGACACCAGAAGCATCTCACCGGGGTTGCCAAAGGGATCATCACTCTCACCAGTGTTATTCAACATATACACAGTTGGAATCACTTCTGGACAACTGGAAGGCCCAAGGCGTGTGCTAAGCTTTGCGGATGATGTCCTTGTATACAGATAGTGTAAGGACCGACAAGAAACAGCTAGCGCGGTGCAACAGGAGCGGAATCGAATTGGACAATTGTGTGCAAACCACAAAGGCAAACTCCACCCCCGACAAGGCCTGTGTGCTATGGTGCTCGCAGAACAATCACGTGGTGAAAGCAGAGATGCTTACAGTCACCATCAACGACAGGGTCCTGAACCAGCAACCTGCGAGGAAAAGCCAGAAGAATATCCACCAGCTGTTAACTGGCACGGTCAGCAGGCAGACCCTTTCATGGATCCTGGAGAAGAGGGAGGGGCAGCTATGGCATTGTGCCGCCTGCAATGATGCCCATTCTCCAACCAAGTAACCAAATAAGTAAGTCCATCTCCGACAGGACCGAGCCAAAAGAAATTCGTGAGGCTCGCGAACCCGCGAACTTGTGGGTCAAGTAGCCTAACCACTAAGCTATGGGCGCTGCGTGTCTCCCTCACAGCACTGCGCACCACCATGCATCGCTATGAGATATCTCACCTCCCCCTCCCCTTCTCTCAGCAGACTGACAGCTCCGGCAAGATGGACGACCAAGGACCAAACACACACACACACACAGTGAGTCCTCGTACTTGTACTCCTTGCAGTTGCAGCACCAGTCCAGTGGACTCTACAATTACACTTACAGTATAGTATTTTTTTTGTTGCATCCTGACACATTTACGGCTACGGTCCTATAGCACAGGTCGGTGATGTGCGTACATTTCCAATTTCTGCACGTCAATTGGGCCCCTCTGGGCTAGCAGGTTTAGGAAGCTAGTCTTCACCATTAAATTCAGATTTATTCAGTAACAAGTCAAGTTTCAGTTTGTACTGGATGGCTGTAAATTGTTTTAGGTACCCATTGACACACTTTGGATCATTCAGATCAGGGCCAACCTGGGCTGAGTGGGATACAATAACGTACAATCCAGCACTTGGAAATCCAACACACATCTTCTGCGTATTACAGTGAAAACTTTTACTATTATTACATTACAACACAGACTCAGACCCGATCATTTGAACTGACCAATAAGTTTAAATTATAAGAATAAGTTCAGTTTACATTATTGTATAAAGTATAAGATAAGTTATATGATGCTTGTGAAATGCTCTCATCATGTTTCTCTTTAAATTCTGAATATAGGATCAAATAGATCAAATACAAGAGACTAAAATATAGAAACAACTACATGTATGCCAGTGTTGGGTAAGCAGAAAACTAGCATCACTTTTGGGGATATTTATTACCATTATAATGATAATCAATCTAAAACACTACAAGCAAAGCTGGTGCCATGTTATTCTCTTTGATATTCACAACGCACGTACAGGAAGCTGAAAGGACTGGCCAGTCAGGGACATGCCCATGCAACACGGCACTCATGACCGCAGAACATTTGGTTGAGGAAAGCCCTGTACACAACAGAAACCAAGAGAGGGAACATGGCCTCACCAGTGTCTTTTACTTTTCAAGACAAGCTTTATGTCAACTTGTAGGCATTTCAACAGACTACAATTTTTGTGAAGAAATTCAGTTTGGCTATAACGAAGAGGAGGAAGGAGGAGGAGGAGGAGGAAACCTAGTTTTGTCATTTTAATTTTCCATTATTTTGTCAGGTGATATAAATTTATCAAAAAGTTACCATGACATCCATTAGAAATAGGTATTAAAAGAGACTCAAACTGTAATATTTAGAAAATGGAATCCGAGAGACAGAAAAAATTCACTATCAATGATCAACACAGTAAATCAACAGTGAACAGTGCTACAACAAGAATGAACAAAAGAGTCTATATCAAGGTGAAGAGATCAAATCCATTTAATGAAGGCATTGAACCCAAAACTGACAAGGGCATTTTAAAGTACCATACTACACAAAGTGAGACCATACAAAGTTTTCACAATGGGACATGCACAAAAATGTATTTTATTGCCTGGTTTTCTGATGTCATCAAACAACAAAAGACTATCTCATCTACAGAAAATGTTTAGGTGAAGCATAATTCTGCTAGGCTGAACATTTCTGGGTAGTTAAATTATTTCGTATATGAATTGTATCAATATCAGCCATGTATTTATTATGAGAGCACAAAACATATTCCATCTCAATCTCAGCATTTTGGACTCTTCCCTCCCCCCCTACCCACCCATTCTCGTCATATTCATGAGAAATTAAATATGGTTTGGCAATCCCTCACTCATACTAGACAAGAGAAAAGAAAAAAAAAAAAAAAAAAACCCTGCATCATGGCACCTTTCCACCACACTGTAGAAGCAGCTAAAATTAGACACTTTTATTTAGCTGCAGGAAAGAAACATGACATTTTCACCATCGCAACAACTAGTGAAATCATTAGACCGCGGCAGACTTTCCTGGCAAGTCATGTTTCACAATGCCAAAAACAGGGGTGGGGGGTACTAGAGAGATAGAGAGTGCAAACATCCACCTGTGCCCCGTTCTTCTACAAGTGAGTAGAGCCTCAGCTAAAACATTAAACATTATAAACATATCTAGTTCACATCAACTTCGTGACAACTGAGATCTCTTAGATTACTGGGTATGTATGTAGACAGTCACAAAAATTACAATTCCGAACAAAAAGCTGAACTTCTGGTTAACTTTTCATTTTTTTGTATAAAGACATTTTGAACATGTTACCATTTACGTAAAAGAGGATATCAAATTGATTAACTTTGAAACACTCATCAAACTTTTGATCAAAATGTTATTACTGACCAAAGTTATCCATTACCCATAATGACTTCAGTTTCTACTTTAAAAATTATGGGAATCTGATGTATTTGAAAAATAAAAACTTCCTCAAAACAAAATCAGAGAACCAGAAAAGAAAGCTGACTATATAACACAGACCAAAGATTTTGGCTTAACAGTAACACCGGTCCTTTTCAGTTAGGAAGACAGGAAGAATAAGGTTTTTAGTAACATTCCCAGTATGGAAAGTAAAACAGCAAGAAAACATTAACATCATTTTAATTAAAATTACAATGAATGTCAGACATGTCATCAGTGATTAAAAAAATTATTCTAGAAGCCTTGAGACCATTTGGATACAATCTAAAGTAATAATTTTACAAAAAACAACTTAATGCAGGAGCCAAAGGCAGCAAATTTACACTTCAGAAAATGCAAAGTTGCTTCTCCTGGGCACACCAGCTCAACTGTCAGCTGTTGTTCTTCTTGTCCCCCGATAGCACAGCTTTGATACCTTGGACCAGTTGGTTATAGAGATCGTCTAAAGACTTAGAACCATCAAGGTATTCTGAAAGAAAAAAAAGGGAAAATGAAAAAGCAAACTAAATACATGTATTATGTATTGACCTGAGACTGAATGTCTTTGGTAATCTCACTCACACAGAAAAAGTTTCAGCACCATGCTAATGTCACTATATATACATAACACGGATAGATCGAACACGCATCTGTCGAACTGTGCCTGCGTTCCGTTTTTTTCTTCCTTCTTTATCTTTGTAAGCTATCCCTTGAACTATCGAGGCCGGTCCCAAAGAATCCGAGCTTTCGTGTTACACTTTTATATATACAGGGTGATCCTAAAAAAACCTGTACAACTTGTTTTGTAAATATCTTCCTCTATACGGAAGTTTTGCTTTTCAGATTTGAACATAACATTTGGAAGCCAAAGGGAATTTGTCTGATATGCATGTTAGGTAAGTCCATTGAATGGTTTTACTCTATATGGCGCATTTAAAAAACAACCCATTTCCAACCTTGTCGCCATTTTCAGAGCATGATGTACCAGTTCGCATTAGGCCTACCACAAAAGGTGCAACAATCGCGCCATATTGCAAGCTACAGCAGTCTAACAAGTCAACAGAAGTCTGCAGGTATTATTTTTTCCCAAATTTCATTTGTCTGCTGAGATCATGGTTACGTTTAGTAAAGAGCAGAGAGCTTTTTGTATTGAACATTACCTCTCCACAAACTCACCATCCCTGACATTTCGTAAGTTCTGCGCACGGAATGGAGAAAATGCTTAGGTGCCCTCAAGACCTTTGGCGTCAAGAGTAGAGAAGTTTCGTCAGTTCGGAACTATAGCGAATCAGAACAAAAAATTTCCTGAAAAAATGACCACTTCAGGTTGAACACGCACCACGCACAGCCCTTTAAACACCACCAGGTTACAAATTCCAGTAGTCGAGTCATCTTCGCCAGGCCGAGGTGACATGGATCAGAGCATGGCAATGTGTTCATGATTCCTCGATTGTCTTGAAAAGAGGGACCATTTCCTCGATGACATTTGGTTCATTGCAAAGCCCATTTTCACCCTGCGGAATATGTTAACTCCACCAAATATGCTGTCTATTGGGCACCCCACTCTATTGTCTCTAGAAGCCACTTCATAGTGAATATGTACAGTGTATGTGGCTTTAAACACTCATGGTGAATGATGGTGTAGCAGGTCCTTGTATTTGTGCATCATTGAACATTTCGAACGAGACACGTTAAAAATGTGTCGAGTCCAAAGGAGGGAATGTGGAGCACTGCTTCTAAGAATTTTAGAATGAAATCATTAGTTTTTTTCAACTCTGTAAAAGAAATTAAATATTTTTAAATGTCACAGGGATGGAAAATTAAATGTCAAAGAGAAAAATAAAGAAAAAAGTCAACCAATCTTTTCACGACTTCCTTTACAAGATTTTAAAGAATGGGTGCACTTTGCGTTTTGGGGTGCTTTTTTCTTTAAGCCGTTTCCAAAATAAGTTTCTTCTTTGTGGACTTTATGTCAAACAAATTCCTTTTGAATGAATTATGTCTGTTCCAAATTACAGCATTCTAGAAAAATTTTTGAGCGAGATATTCAGAAAAAAGTTGTACATTTTATTTTTTTGATCACCCTGAATTTTAACATATTTTTGTTCTCCTTTCAAGAGGGAAAAAAGCCATACGGGTGGGGCAGTTACGGTTAGGAGGAACTACATCTGGAAATATAAATAATACGCTACAACAGGATAAAACCCAATGGCCATCTCTAATCGGAGAAATCTGTGGTTTGGAGTTAAGCATGTTTTAAAATTAACGGACTGCACTGTAGTTAAATGTAGGACCCACCAGCTGCTCCCTGCAACCAATCCTATAAGATGGGAGCTAGTGATAGCCACGTAGCAAAGTAAAAGTAAACCATGAGAAACATCCAGGGCAAAAATTGCTATGTATGGCTAAAATTAAAATTTGCAACTGTTCAGTTAAACTTCATTGTACTGCCTACCTTGAGAGTACATGGGGGCTGGCGGTATAACGATGTAGCAAACTTACAATTGCCATCTTGACAAGTAGTAGACTTGTAAAGGCAAGAGAATAGAGACAAACTGGTTATTTTTGCCTCATCTAAAACTGTCTAGCACGATTGCCATGTGCGAGGAAAAATAAACAAGAAGCATCAATTACATGTGAAGCTTCAGCTAAATTTTGCGTAAACTGAAATTAAAAGAAGCTAGAATCAGAAGCTGCCCTATATGTGTCAAGGACCCCGTAGACGTACTGTTTTTAAAAAAACAGATACTCGTTAGTCCTCAGACCACTATCTTGTAGACTTAAGCACGAGTCCTCACAATATAAAAACCTCATGGAAACCCGCTAGCCTTTTGCCCCAGGCAACTTTAAAATTTAATTCCAATTTTTATAAAAAAATATATTGGCCAAAGCCTAAAATTAATAACAATTTCATAATCAACACATATCAGTAGCAAATCGATGACAAACACTAGAAATAGGCAGAGTTTGCATATGAAGGGTTTGATGTTATGGAAGATGGGCGCTTGGACTTGGAGGCACAAAGTACTAGACACACATTTGTATCATCAGTGAAAAACTACTCAAAGAAAGTAAATCAAGATCTTGTAAAAGCAATAAAACCACTTTCAAACACAACATGAAACATTCGGATCCGTAAAAAATAAAAAGTGGAAAAAAAAAAAAGGATAGCATTGACATCCCTGTTAGAAAGCCGGCGACCAAAGCATGTAAGACCTCCACCCTTGTCTCTCAAGTGCTGGTCTTTGAAGGGTACTTCCATTGAGTTTCAAAGACTTGACATTCCTGGGTTTGACACAAGGTATTCTTCGGTTATCCTCTACTGCACCTCTTCTGTTATGTCCAGTGAAGGGAAGTCTGAGTTGTGTTATTCAGCTCATTCCACACATCTCCATTATAATGACAGCCACTTTCTATAGAAGATAGTCCCAACATTGTCATGGTCCTACAGAGCAACTGCTCTTCCAATTTAAGATCCCCTATTCCAAAAAACCCCAACAGCTGAAGTTCTTGTAGCAGAACGATGACAACTTGTTCGTTCCTGTCAGTGTCATTCTTTATGAGGCGTCGGTGGCCTAGTGGTTAAGCTCTCGGACTCGCAACCGTACGGTCGTGGGTTCGAATCCCGTCAGGGGCTCGACGTTGTGTCCTTGGGAAAGGCACTTTACTTTACACGAATTTTCCTCACTTCACCCAGGTGGGAATGGGTACCCGGCTATAGACAGTGAAAGATCTTGTCAGTTTGTTAGTGTTTGAGCGCTTAATCAGCTGCTTGCACTGTATGCTTCCCGGGAAGCTGAAAATGTTTCGGAGTGTTCTATGGTCTGCTGGGGTAATAATATAGTGTAAAGCGCATAGAGCCTGCTGTTGAGCGGGGATATGCGCTATACAAATGCTATTCATTATTATTATTATTATTATTATCCTCTTCAAGCTTCCAGAGTCTAAATGTATGGTGGGTCATACAACACAGCACAGCTCTGATAGAAATACAGTACCCCTCAGTGAACCTGTTGCTCGGGTAGGGAGTGGAGTGCAAGTTAATCCTTGTTCAGACCTTATAATTATTGTGCTTCTAGCTTTCTTGAGGTCATAGTCTGATCCTTCATCACATCTGACAAAGTTGGACAGATCTGTAAATTTTTCAGGTGTAGATCAGTCTGTTTCCCTTGCATAAATCAGAGCCTAAAGCAGGATTTTCAGTGTCATCTTTTCTTTTTCATCTTAGGGGTTGCAAATAGTTATCTTATTATACAACAGCCTGCAAGCATGGGAGATGAGCAAAATCGACATCGTCCATTGCAGAAAAAAAAGTTGTTATTTGATGCCACTTGACCATCACTAGTTTTTGTCCTGACACACTGAACAACTTCGCTGATGCCACACACACCTCCTTTAGGTCTGTTTCCACCTAAGAGCTGTGGTTCCAGTTTCCTTCCTTACACGCACAATGGAAAAGTCTTGGATGAGAAAGATGTACAACTGAAATCAGTATGTCCAGAAAGCAAAGAACATTGCAAAATATCACTCAACACTCAACAGAAAGATGCATAGAAAACTAATGAACATACTCACCTATTTGTGTCTGGTCTTGAATGTCTTCTAAATTTTGCAAGTACTTCGGCCATACAACTGACTCAAAGTATCCAGGTACATCTGGAGGTACATATGTTCTGAACCTGCAAGAAAATCAGTCAGTGCAATAACAGATACATGCAACATATTCTATAAAAATCCCCCATTAATCATAAACACTCACCTATATCATTCTGATCTCGAATTTCTTCTAAAGTTCGCAAGTACCCAGGCCATACAATTGATTCAAAGTAGCCAGGGGGATCAGGAGAATTATAAGTTCGCAGCCTGCAAAACATATCAATCAGTTAAAGAAAATTCTGGGAGCATCAAAAGACTATTTTCTTTATATGTAGCAGTTTTATGAAGCAATACCATTTAAAAAATCTTTTTGCAGAAAAAAAATACCCTGGTATTGCATGTAGTTCCTTTCACAACATTTTGAACTTTCTAATGCATTATAATGTATTGCTCTTTCTTTTAAAACTAAAACTGATAAATGGGGAATACAAGGGTGTGAAAAAAGTCTTCTATCTGGATATGAAGAAAGCGAGACATCACTTTGATAAGTTACACCTACTTTGTCAGTATAAGTACCAGTGAGTGATCAAGCATTACCTAGTGACAGAATACCCTCAGAACAGAAGCACCCCCATCTATTTGCAAACCAGAAAGAAATCAGTTCTCCACGCAAGCAAATTGGCATAGACCGTATACCAGTACCAGTACTTTGTTATAGCTTCACTGAATTTTCAGTCCTAATCTGTTTTTTTGATTCACAGACAATATTTTGTCTTGACGACCAAATCCATTACCAGAAACACTTACACTCGTCTCTTTGCTGATGTTGAATAATCAACTTTGATGAAATACTTCTGGTCGAACAAGCTACTCAGCTGCCTGGGGAAAAAAAAGTCAAAGACAATAAGTTCCTTATGTCAATGACGTCACATACATTTGTAACACAGGGCACTCTATTCCATTCAGTATCAGTTCAACATAACACTAAATGTAAAATGTTTACAGATTATCTTGACAGCAAAAAGACCAAGGGCTAAACATTCAGGGCGAACATGATGGCTGGTTTAAGAAATTCTTTTCAGTCAATAAGGATAGAAATAGTTCTTTAAATACTTTTATCTTACAACCCACATTGGCACAAATGTCCTGTGAAGTGTCATTCTCAGTACAGACTTCTGAATCTTACTTTGAATTTGATCTAGACTGGACAGTCTATGAAAAAAGTTTGAATTTAAAAAAGAAAATAAGAGAACAATAGGGAGGATTAATCCATAAGTACTGACATGGTAAGCAAAATGAAACTGTTACTAGGAGGGAGCTCTGAATTAATGCCTCTCAACTTAGAAGACCCATTGAACAACACAAGAAATTCAGTTTTTGCGTGCCCAGAACTAATTAAATCACCTGTGATTGAAGATCAGGAATCCCTCGATGATAAGCAATGCTGGTGTTTTGTTAGATTCTTGTTTCGCCATCCAACTGTTGACATGAGCTACCATCTTTTCCATATCCATTGCTCCTAAACCTTGATTTATTTTTAAAAAAAGTAAAGATGGCTATAAAGTCAAAGAAAGGATCTTTGAAAAAAAGATTATTTTATTTCTTACATATTTCTGAAAAAATAAAAATACTCAAGAATAGAAATTAGACTTGAAAATGCTGATTACCATTAACAAGAGCCAGGACATCTTTGTTACCCCTGTAATAGAAACAGTGACTCGATGTACATATATGCATATGTAAAGTAACAAACCAACACTTATGTAAAACAATGAAATTAATATGCTAAACATTCAACTAAAAGCGATTTTTATGATTTTTATCAAGGATAAACTTTCATAGCTGCCTCACGGGTAAAAGTTGGTCACAGTTCGAGCATAAATTAACAGTGCAGGGGTGATTTTATTATCTTTTCAGGCCAAGCCTTTGAGATTCTATTTGCCTGAAAACTTTCAAACTCATAGCATCCCAAAGGCTTTGCCTGAAAAGATAATCAAATCACCCCTGCACTGTTGATTTATGATTGAACTCGAGCAATGGAGTTAAAAAGCCTGACTTTTTTTAGACAGTTGTCACGCACACGAAAGAAACCTGTGCTTCACAAGATCGACGCTGATCCAGTCAAGGACGGCTGATGCCGGCTGCCGGTACCATGATGCCAACTGGCTTTCTCTTGCCAGAATTTCCGGCCACAGCCGGCAAATTTTTATCCATGAGCTCCCTTTATTTCAAAGTGATTCCAACAATAAGTTAAGTAAAATGGCACTGTGGTGGAGGCAAGGGCCGCAGATATGAGATATTAAATAGGCTTAGAACAAGAGAATAGTTAAAAACGTGGAACAGCCTTTAGTGCTCTTTAGTGTGCAGACATGTCACTAAAAACAAGACGGTTGAATATTTCAGCCAGTCGAAACTACAACAGAGCACCAGTCACCACAAAAAGCATTCCTTGTGTGATGTTTGGAGACAGCAGCATGCTGATATAGGTGGGTCTACATCATTAACTTCAATGAACTGAACAAGACAAAAATGTACCAGCAAACAAAATGTAATTGACAAAACATTCACATTATTTTTTGCAGTAAACAGAATTTTCTACCTCTGGCTTTGAGCGTGTAACTGTACCACAACTGTTGATAACATCCTCAGTCATTTCAAATTAACAAGCAATGTTTGTAGAAAAAGAAAGCAGATTATAATACAACACTTACTGATAATAATATAGACAAAAATGTGAAGAAAAAAAAGGAAATAAAAAGCTTTACATGTTTGTTTAAGTAGAGGTTTTACGCCGCTCGCAACTGCATAAGGTCATAAGGCCAAGGGGTGGATGTCAAACAGGGAAGTCCTTACAGGGAATCAGACTTACTCTGCTCACCTCTCTAGCTTCAAAGCTTTACATGCATGGGATAACAATTTTGTAAAAGGAGTATGCAGCAAACAGGGAAGGACTTTTAATCCTGGAATGAGAAGATCCAGAGGACAACAGGGGTCCACATGTGCAGAACCTCTGACTAACGGTTTGTTATCAATGTAACACCAGGCCTTATGAGGTAAACGTTTAACTCATAGAATATTAATGAAAGCTATTCATGCACACACCCCCTTTAGGTTGAAAAACTAACAGCACTCAAAAGAATAAAGGAACTAAGCCTGGTGAATAAATAAAGGAACTAAATTTGACTGAAAAAAGTAAAGAAACCAAAGCGCATGTTTCTCCTTACATTCCCAGTTTTGAAATCCCTGACTCTCCAGGGGAACTCGAGGGTCATCCGGTCCCTGAAACAAGCAAACATTTGCCATGCAACGAGTAAATAAGAAATAAAGTTTTTATACAAGATTGATATAATATTTCATTTTCTTTCAAAGTCAACACAAGAAGCAGAAATATGGTGCTGTCACAACCAATCTAAATTTACAACAAGACAAAGTATAATTTGAAATAATCATAAAAGTCATATGATGCGTGTACATTTGCATTGCAATATGCACTGAGATGAATTCTTGCATAATTGTTTACATTACATACTTAATTATTAAACCTGTAAATTTCCTCTATAATAGCTAAATTCAAAATTCATTAATCTGCCACGGTACAACACTATTAAAATTTATCAATGAGGACCACTCACAGTGTAGCACTTCAAAAACAAATGGAAGTGAAGAGCACATGATAAGGACTAATTATTCCACAGAGATAGGAAGTATTTGTAAAACACAATTGCCTACTGCCTATACAAATTGAAGCTAATTTCTGATGAAGTGCAGTTATGCTTAGATCTATTTGTAAAAGTGAGAAAGCAGAATAGAAACATAAACAATGTTTAAAACACTTTTGTATACTCTGTCTTTTCGTAATTTACTTCTGATGTGTTCATGCAAGCGTGAGAGAGTAGGAGAGGGTGGTAGAAAGAAAGAGAATTTGCATAGAGAAAAGGTATCATGTCTACTTTGCATCAATATTGGCAGATGTTACGGTCTGCAGCAACAAGAAACATTTCCATTGAGGGCTAAAAGTTTTTAAAAATCCCATACTTTTTACTTTGTATTAAAAAGAAAATCTGGGGCATATTCATAATTAGACACCCTTCAAAGCAGAAAATTGTGGTCATATGGCAGACATAGCTTGATACTGACAACATTCTTCTTTATGGTTATATGTACGAGGCAAAGATTTGGAATAGCCTATCCAAGCTACTTTTCTCTTAGCACAAATTTAAAACAGTGACAATGAAAAGGACACTCAGTCATGAGAAAAAGTAAAGAATATAGAGTGATGGTTCATAAGCAAACAATTTAATATAATTTTTAAAAAATTTAAATGAAAGACAATTATGCAATACTCACATAGAAATAACTATCCTGGCACATTGTGAAAGCATGAGGAAATGCAGACTGGAGCATTGAGGTCAGAGTTGACTTTCCGCTGTTTGTTGTGCTGGTGGCATAGAAAAAAGAATATGGGGGGCTCTCGTCGCCTAGAGGTTAAGGTGTTCGACTTTCTTTCAAAGGTCCCGGGTTCAAATTAGGGTAGCGAGCGAAAAATTTTCTTCTCTAAAATTGTCTCCTTTCACCTCCAATCATGCTGTCTAGCAATGTTCTGTCGTCTGCTTTCATCTCTACTTTCTGCCCCCACCCCCTCACCTCCTTTGCCCCCCTCCTCTAGGCTCCTGACTCTTTCTGCAGCCTTTCAACTGCTACTTCTTGGCTCCTTCTTACTGCTGCCTTTCAGCCACACCCCTGATCTTCTGGCAGGAAAGGTCTACACCTAGCCTTCTCGGACAAGGGCAATAAATCTCTGAGGACACGTGTGCAAGTTGCGCACGTAAAAGATCCCTTGGTGGCCTAAAATCTATAAGAATAGGCTGCTGCCACCATCCAGGCAAAATTCAAAATTTCCCATCAACTGAAAATGTTTAAGCCGTAAAACACTTACAAGAAAAAAAAAGAAAAGAATATAAACATCGTTATGTAGTAGAGCAAACATTTTTTACCAGAGATTTGTGGCCTCTGCAGAATGTTTGTTTAATGAAAAACTCAAATAGAATGATGAAAAGCAAAATGGTAACAAAAAAATAAGTGGATTTGAATATGAGTCAGTGTGGATTTTCCCCTTGGTGAATCGGGTAAGATCCCATTTTCCAAAGATCCCCCAAATTTTCCTTGCTCCCCAGCACTGGGATCTTAGGCGGAGACTACAGTATTTTGTCCAGCTATTTGATGCCAAGAATGCTCCTGAGACATTACAAGTGGAAATGATTGAGCTTCTTGGGATGGCTTTGGTACACTGTCCAGGTCTCAGCACCATACAAGTAGACCGGCTTCATAACAACTTTGTAGATTTTCAACTGTGTCTATGTCTGTCCCCGTAGGATTATGCAAATTTAGATGGCCAAATTATGCCCCCCCCCAAAAAGCCAAATTATGCAAAAATTATGCAAGTTACCGTAACACCATTCGCGACATGTTTTACATTTTTTCAACATGAATTTTCATGATTTTCATGTTTTATGTACAGAAAAATTTAAAACAGAACATATCAGTATCAGTAATTTGTTGTGTATTTGGTAAAAAACAACTATACACATCAGTAAAAAAACAACAACCCAAAAATATAATCTCTGTAACTTTCAGCTGTAGATCTTATCTAGATCCTGATCTATAGGGGAAAGAAAAATGTTAAAAAAAAAGAAGAAAAAAAAGGACATCTGGACCTCTGTTGCTGGCACATTACTAAAACCAGGGACACCTGTCCAACATGAAACATCAGCAGACATGATAACAACAACTTTTGATGGATTGAAAAATTGAACATGCTCAAGGAACAAAATCCCAACCCATAACCAAGATCTTCTAACAAGGGAAATAACCAGCTTTTCACTTAAATGAGACTTATTGTGGTGATTATTTCCCTTTAGTCAAATGGCGAGGCGTTAATTAATTATTTTGTGAAAGAAAAAGGAAAAAAACGTGAAAAAACGCGGGGATGTTGCAAATGTTGCAGAATTACGCGAAAAAACGCGGCCGCACAATCGCATAATCCTACAGGGACAGCTATGTGAATGCCACAGCAGTCCCAGAGCCTTGCTCCGAGTCTTCCAAAGGATGTAAAGAATGAACTTGCTCTACTCGTCATACATAGAACTATTTCTGCGAGCATTTAAAGACAGTTTACTGCCAAGATTCTTGAAGCAGTAGACATTTTTCAGTGATGTGTCATGCACACTCGAGTCCACTTATAACGAGAGGTCTGTTATAAAGACACTATTCTAAAACCTCGTTTTTTCCCCTTCTTTATCTGTTTTTTTTTTATAGTAGAGGGTTTTACGGCACTCGCAACTGCATAAGGTCATATGAGCGCCAAGGGGTGGGTGTCAACAGAGAACTCTTTACAGGAAATCAGACTTACTCTGTTCACCTCTCCAGCTTCAACAGCGCAAGGTCTGCTTCGACTATCAAGGCACCGCGGAAATAGCAGGTCACAAGAGTGTGACAAACATACAAAAGAAGTAGAGGAAAATGACAATAGAAAGGATTAGGAAAGAAAGAGCAGCAGTTCCCTGTTGTAGATCAGGCACAGTTAGGAGCGTGACATGATGAATCAGCCCATTTACAATTCTACTGTGCTTGAATGAGAAATGTTTCCCCTTGTGGAATGGCCTAAAGACACTACATTCAGTGGCACTGCCCCGGGGGGTTCTTTATCTTTGTAAATAAAATACTGCTATATCGCAATCAGACAAACACGCGAGTCGGTTATAGCGGAATATTGCTGCTGATGTGCACAGCGCATAGGCCATTTATAACATGTTAAAACCTCGCACGTTGAGAAACTTGAACTAGCGAAACAAAGAATGGAAGAACCCACATGTGTCAACAATGAAGGCCGGAGCGAATGAGTGGGGAGGGTGTGGCATGCGCAGATAAGCAGAACGCATCGCGTGATAGGCCAGCGAAGTCTAGATTATCTAGGCCTACCATGCCTCTCACTTCTCCGATGTGGGGATGGAGAGGTCACAATGCTGTGATGGATGGAACGAATGTGTGACGTGTGCGGGGTGTGGTATGTTCCCATTGTGCGCAAGCAGACGAAACACACCAGTAGTGGGGTGGGGGACAACACAGAAGGCGAGTTTGCCTAGAGTCCTAGAGAACTTTCTGATCCCCAACACCGAGCTGTCAACATCGCTAGCGATAGAGAAAGAAACCTGATTCGATTTTTGATCAGGTAAGACCTAGAGGTCATGTTGAACCAAATCATCATCACGGGAGATAACAAAAAGAAATAAACCGAACAACAAACTCATAGATTAGGCCTACTTTACTATTTCCCTTGAATTTATTACTGGATCCCTTATATAACAAGAATCCTTCTATAACGGACATTTCTCACCAGTCCTCTCCCTTTCGTTATAACAGGATTCCACTGTATTTTGATATCAGGAAGGAGGGTGTGGATATCACGAGGAACAGACTGAATGAGAACTTCTGTCTTTGTTGATGAGTAACTCTTGTAGAATAATAACAAACTTGTGAACAACATCCCTCAAAAGCAGTAGACCCTATCTTTAGAATCATACCCAATTTTTTCCCCAAAACTCATGCATCATCTAACTCAGCCAGAGATATATATCTTACCACTATGATTACAAATTTAATCATTTATGTATAGTGGAATAATGTGCAAAATAATAAGGATTAAGTAAGCTGCAATCAAACTCTGACTTACCCACTGAGGCCAATGATGAAAAACTTTTTTGATGACATTCTATTTATTGGAGGAAACTCTAAAGGAATGTGAAAATTGTTCTTATTGTATGTTGTTCTAAGCACACTTCACTGCTGTCAAAGTACATGTACACATGTACTTTGAAAATATAAAAGTCAAAGGAAAGTCACACAACTTGGCAATGTACTGAGCTCAGTGCTGTGTCCCATTTATTGTTAAAGAATCTGTTTTGTCTACAAATTCATCTTCATCACTGAAAGAAGACTGAGCATCTAAGCCAAAAGCAACAGTACTGTCGTTCTTGTTCAGTCTATCCAAGAATGCGTCGAGTAACTTCTTGTTAATGTGATCAGTCTGGGTAGTCTCTCTCTCTGGTTTATCTTCCACTTCGTCCTGATTTACACTAGACTGAGTTGTTGAAATAGTATCTGACTGTGATGAAGCCTCTTGATTTTGTCCGTCACCTTCAGAGGAAGCTTTGGAATCTCCTTGTTGGTCCATAACTTCAAGAAATTATTTCTGCAAAAAAAAAAAGTTTAAAAATTAAAAATGATTATATATGACAATAATATTAAGCTTACATTTAACTTGCTTAAAAAAATAAAATCAAGATCCATTTCTTACACAGCCTTACAATGGGAGAAACAGAAAACAATCCTATCAAAATGAAAAGGACAAAAGGCAAGGAAAAAAACAAAAGAGTTGCCTTTCTTAAAAGAAAAAAGGATACCCTTAAATCAAAATTTAATTACAACTATCCTTCTGAGATCATTAGGAATTTTTAAATGCAAATTATCACAAGACAAATAACAGAGCAGCAGCAATAAAGATAGTCGAACAGCTGACTTGATGTGATTTACTGATGTACAAAAGGGAATAATTGTTTGAAAAGATTTTTCACAATTTTATCCCTTTCTGCTTGTTTTTCTTGACACCTTCTTTTTTTTTTCTCTCTTGGGAATTAACCTATATTAGGCCTAGCTGCCTTTTGTTCCAGTGTATAGGCCTGTCAGAACAAGGTGGGAGGTAAACTTCTCCTTCTCAGGGGAAGCTGATGGTAGACTGAATAAGTCCATCTGGCCTACGGTGACTTGGGGTTGGTGTTAGAAGTGATTTCAAAGGTGGTTGTTTAGACGTTTGTACTCTTCCCAGCGACACCCTGAATAGAATGATAAAATATACCTCTGGGTGCACTGGAGACTGGCGGAGTGTCCTACTGGGGCTCCGGTGGAAGGGACTTAATAATCATATCTTACTCTTCCATGAGATCTTTTAAAGTCAGAGGCACTGGCAGGCATTATGTAGTAGCAGCCAGCTTCCCAAATGATCTAACTTGTCAGAGGCTTGTATTCTAACTAACTGGTTCTTCTGCCACAACCACAAATATGATCTCAGTCGGCTCCACAGACTGAAACCCCGAAGGAAGCTCAATCTCCACATTTTTCTAAGCAAAGGACAGTAAAATGCTTGATGGCAATGTGTAGTCAATGTTAGTATAGACAGTGGAAAACAAGCAAGTCTGTTGTGATAAAAGAGCTCAGTATTTATAGTTAGGAGGAGTGCTTGTATAGTGAATCCTTGGGTCGTGGGGACCAAGGGGAAAAACTAACACACGATTTAACCCCTCGTCCATTTGGTCTGAATAATTTACAACCCTTCTACCGTCGTGCAAGAACATTTATTGTCTCGTGCTGGTGTCTTGTTACGTTTGCACACACGCTCTCTGTTCCTTGAACCATAATTTCTTGTGTGCGGGTAGAGAGTGAAGGGCCTGCCATTGTTAAGTGTGTAAACAACAAATGGTCCGGCGGCGGCCGGTCCCACATCCCATTCAGTAGCGTCGGTAGTGAGAATTTTTTTAAAACTGGAGAGGCGAAATATGTTTTTACATTATTATTATTCGTTCCCAACCACATCGGTAAACCACCATGGGTCTAGATTTTAGGTGATTTTATCGGCCTGCGAGAGGTCAGGGGGGAGTCCTCGCCTCATGCCCACACCGGAGTGGGAGCTATTTTCACCAGGGGGAGGGGGGTGGGGGTGAGAATAGCGAGAAATGGGTTATTCGGGTGAGAATAGCGAGACATGAGTTATTCTCACCCCTGAGAATAAAGGTGGCCATCCAAAAGTTGACGTTTCGGTTATTTTGCAGTTTCATTCATTAACTGATTCCGTCCATTCGGCCGCTGACAGCGGCTCTGAGTTTTTACGCTGCCTCCATTCGACCGCTGTGAGCGGCTCAACGAAATCCGAAACAATGTGCAATTTTTTACATAGTTCCTACTTTTTAAGTTGTCGAAAGGAAGAAGAACTTGTAAACAAACCTGACCTCAATCTCTGAGCACCAATATTGATTTGGCTGGATCTAAGGGTAAACAACACGGAGCCTGGTATCATAAAAAGGCCTTTCAAAGAAAGATGTTCGACTAAATTTGCGAAATTCTTGCATTATAAATGTGTGCTAGGGTGATATCGCTAAAATTTTGTGTTGATTCCTATGGATTATAAGGACTTGTAGAGCTGAGAAAATGCGGTAAGTCGAAAATTTCGAAGAGTTGTTGCGCAATTTTTTTTTCTCATTCGTTTTTGTCTGAAAGGAAATGCAATACAAACAGATTATAGGTCATTGTTATTGATCATATAACCAGATTCCTCTATTGATTCCCATCAGTTTGGTATATGACAATACATATTAGAGTAACTTAAAGCTTTACAGTAATGCATTAAATAGATGCACCCCAGGTCTAAAACTGAACAGGGAAAAATAATTCTGTCCAGAGCCTGAAAAAATCACGGACGGAATCAAAGTGAAGAGTAGGAGTAGGGGGGTTTCAGGCACATGCGATTAAACGTAGAAAGACGCAAACTATTTTTAGGTACGGCGCCCATCTTGTTAGACATCACACCAGGATACCCTCCGATCATGTGACTACATCTAAGTATAGCCAACCGCGTGGCACCAAAGATGGAAGTGTCTATGTTATAACGCTTAATCTACACCATGCTATCGGAAGTTCTGATGGCCGAATAGACAGCGCGTCTGTGTTAGAAGTCATGCAATGATTTTAGGAGCGGTTCGATTCCGGTCCCGCGCTTTTTTTTCCCTCTCTTTTCCTCCTCCCGACTGACCAATAGTCCCATAAATTATAATTTGTAGAGCTGCTTTGAAGTTTTTTTGTTTTTAAAAAAATGCATATTAGTGATGAAGAATGCAGGAGGGGGGGGGGGGGGTAGATCTAGAATCTAGATCCAGATCTAATCCTCCAGCGTCTTTACGGCAATTTTCTTACATTTCCATCTTTGGTGCCATGCGGTTGGCTATACTTAGATCTAGATGTAGTCACGCGATCGGAGGGGAATCCTGGTCTGATGTCTAACAAGATGGGCGCCGTACTTAAAAATAGTTTGAGTCTTTCTAATCTAGATCTACGTTTAATCGCATGTGTTTCAGGCCCCCCTGACTTGACAAAAATATATGAATTTACCATAATTTTATGTTTTGCAGTTCGAAGTGACTATTCGGACTCGAGTCCGAATATGAAAAAATGTTATTCGGACTCTGATTCTAGTCTAGCATGACATCACTTCCGACTTCCTGTGACTCGTGACTCCGCTTCTGTCCTACCTCACTCGTGACTCGCCTCAGGCTGGGTAGAGACCGGGATCACTTCGGGCAAAATGGCGTTTTGTGCAGGAGTCGAGTTTTTATCTTATGATGAATTTGAGGCCGGCCTGAAAAGTTATAGCGCTTCTAATAAATGTTTATTTGTCAAGAGGTCACCAGAAGCAATTAAAGATGGCTCGTTAGCGTGTGTCGGGGTCGGATGGGCGGCCTGCACACATGTGGCTGTGTGAGGGGGCACTATCGGTCCGGGCGTTGAACGTCGCATACGCGTCAGTCTTTATCCCCCGGCAACTGATCATTATTACAATAATAAGCTAGTCTTGACGTAGATCTACATTATGAATTGTGCGCTGGTCTATGGTATCAAAAGTTGCCGTATGCTCGGCTCTACACAGCAACACAACTTTTTCTTAGTAAACAATCAAGATGACACAGGCTTCTGTATTTGAACGAATCGGTCTTTTTTTTTTTTTACACAGCTCATAATGTGCAGGTGCCAGGTGGTCTGCTAATCTTCAATTTTACCTTTTTCTACAACAAAGAAGTGGGAAACATGGGGGTGAGGGGGGGCGTATCAATGAGGTGGCGGGCATTGGATCGGCAGATAAGGTGTGGGGGAAACTAAAAAATGGCGGAAAATTGGAAGCACTGAACGTTAGATCTACAGAACGAAGACACTTCCTTTTTCCCGGATTCGGACTCGAGTCCGAATATGAAAAAATGTTATTCAGACTCGAGTCCGAATAAAGACGGCCTTTGCAGTTAGGGGCCCTACTACCCAGTTAGGTTCTTTGTGTTGCCTTCTATTTGGCCACCTCTATTCTCACCCGGGGTGAGAATAGTGCAGGCGAGTCTTTTGGCTATTCTCATCCGGTGCGCGTTCACCGTTATAGCCTAGATCTAGGCCAACAAATTTTGCGTTCACCCTAAACCACAGAATTCTACACTGTGATAACAGAAAAATTGTAGAATTCTGTGCCGTGAACAAACGTTCCATTACAACTGTAGCCTACTAAAAGCGTACAATTTTGTCTGTGGGCAGTGGAGAAAGAGAGAGAGAGAGGAGTAGCGCGAGAACTTCCGGTCAAAACAAAATGGCGACCCGCGTAGTTCGGCTCGATTCGAAAAGCTAAATAGCCGTAGCATCTTTGTAGACAACCAAATTAATTTACTTTTGTATTTTAACACCATTTTTTAACTTTGTTTTGGTCAATTTGATCGTCCACACCGATAGACAGTATTCAGAAAGAGACAGAGAGAGAGAGAGAGGGGAGGAGTAGATCTTGCGAGAACTTCCGGGCAAAACAAAATGGCAACCCGCGTAGTTCGGCTCGATTCGAACAGTGAAATAGCCATAGCATCTTTGAAGACGATCAAATTAGCTTACTTTTGTGCTAGATCTATATACGTAATTTTTTCTTGGCTTTTATCAATTTGATTATCCACACCGATAGACAGTATTCCAAAATGAGGAAAAGCAGGTCTTGTTTCGCACCGGGTGAGAATAGCCTACGCTGGCAAGTCTCACCCAGGGTGAGAGGTGGATCGTTTTTCTATTCTCACCCTGGATGAGAATAGCCACTTCCCTTCTATTTGGTCATCAAGACTTCTGGATTTCTTCTCTGGATGTAAACAAATGGATCATGGACTTTAACGAACGGAACTAATCTAGAATCTAGATCTAGATCTATATCTATATCTAGATATATCTACATATCTAGATCTAGATTCTAGAATCTACAAGAAGAAGAAGAGTAACAAGACAAGACACAGGATGATCGACGTTTCATCAGGTCCAAGTAAAAGCTTTCCCATGCCATTTACAAATCCAACCAAGTAGCCTACACTCACCATATCGGATGTTCCAAATTCAAATAATAAATTTCTGTTATAAAATTAACCCAACTGATGGCATCAAATATAAAACACGGTAGCTTACATTGCACATGAAAACTTCCTGTACTGAGCTGTTGTGTGTCATCATCTAAGTCTAAGTCTTTAGAAGGCTCTAAGAAGGTGCTTCGGCCTTCATTCAGCAGTCAAAATGAGACTGCTAAACTGCTAGACAACCCAACGTCAGAACGTGACTCAGGGAAGGGACGCCACTGTGATTTGATGATAGATCTAGGCCTAATAATATTTTGTGAGAAACTCAGTGACTGGCGACTGGAGAGTGGAGAAGTTGGCCTGATTTTGTGCACACATCCGAATTTCTTGCACAAGAAAAGTCACTGTGAAGCAATTCTCACAACTCAAACTTTTCTCCCACACCACAAAACCCAGCAAGGAAACATAACATGATCGTAAGTTTCTTAATGTCAAGATCATAGATCGAGATGTGGATCATGTACAGATTCTTAATTAAAATTCTATTCTGTCTTTAGAGAGTCGAAGAAATTCAGACAGAGTACCGACCGGACCGTGTCCGTAGACGACAGAGTGTGACAGTATTCAGAATTCAGTTATTTATTTAATTTATTATAATATATAGATTCTAGATCTATTAGCCGGTAATTGTTTACTTTCTCGTGTTTAATTCCGGAGAGAGGACTTCCGCCGTAGCGTCGAGCAACCTCTCTGAACTCTATGAACATAAAATACTCAATGTAGTTATGTCTCATGAAAATTTCAAATTTCTCACAGATTAAAAATTTTACAATAGGTGGATGCAGCTTGAAAAATGCTTTCCAGTGGTACCAAATTTAGCATTCTACGATAATTAGAACTAAAGTTATGGCTTCTTTTGTAACGTAAAAATGATTGTTTAAACATATAGAAAAAATGACGTCAAAATTGTGACCGAAAAATTGATAAAGTTGAAAAAGGGCATACCGCTGTTG